ATTTTTTTAGAATTTTAGAATTTGTTAATTTTTAAGATTTTGTTCTTTTAAAAATTTTAGAATTTCTCTTTTCAAAATTTTATCTTTGTTTTTTCTAAATTTTTATTTTTCTAAAATTTCATAATTTTATTTTTTTTTTTAAAAATATTTTCAAAATGTCATTTAAGTGATTATTTGTGCTAATCATAGTATTTGACGTTTTGAGTATTTTTTTATATTTTCACTAAAAACACTCAAAACGTTAAATACTATAAAAAAGCACACGTACACGTAGAACCTAAAAAAAAATTGAACGGATACCAAAATATTTTATGAAGTTTAATTGCTAGAACGACGCTAAATACTTAATTCAATGACTATTAATAAAAGTAACCCCTTGCTTCTTAAGGGTTCTAAGTATTTTACCATTTACTAGGGAAGGATGGTTACTTTATTAGACTACTTTTTCTTTCATTCTAATTCTAATTCTACATTTCCAATTCTTTTTTCTTTTTCTTTTTCTTTTTTCCTCTTTATTATTTTAGCCTTTTCAATTCGTCTTCTTGAATTCTAAAGGGAAAAAAATGTGGAATTTTATAAATTTACTTTTGGTATGCGAAGGAATAGTAATTATCACGTAGTTGATTAAAAAAATTATTTATTCAAAATGAAATACTCGAAATACTCAATTATCGACATGAAATACTTACTTCACATATGTACAATTATCAACATGAAATACTCATATTTTAATTTTAGCGAATATTCGATTCTTTGATAATTAAATTATGGTTCAATACATTTGAAAGGACAGAGACAAAATGGAACAATCTGGAGAAAAATTAGTAGGCCATGAAAGGAGAAAAATGAAAAAGAAAAAGGGACCGTTAGGATTTGAATTTAAACTTTTCGTTTGGTATCAATAATAATGATGGGGTTGTGGTCACCTATGTTGGCTACCACTTATAGAGTCAAACAAACAAAGCTTGTAGAACACTAAAGGTGGTTGGTTGTGGTCCAGGTGCGATCGAGGTCATTAGAGAGTGATCTAAAAAATGTCATGAGTCGTGACTCAATTCTTGAATGCGGTGAATCATATTAAACAACAAATTTTAAGAGTAATTCGGTACATGAACATAAGAACTCAAAGAGGTGGGGTTGAGGCCTTGAGGGGATGAGATGGGGTGAGGTAAGGGCAAAATGCTTTACTTCCACAAATTTTTTTACTATAATCGTATTTTTGATATGTCATTCGAGTTCGCACATAATTAGCAAACTCTGTTAATAAATCGTCCTCACCAAATATATACTCCAAAATTGCTTAATTTACTCATTTTATTTGTCACATATGTTGATTGTAAATGAGCCTTCATGATAATCTTCTTAACAAGTGTCGTGCCAAAATTGCTTAATTTACTCATCTTATGTGTCACATATGTTGATTGTAAATGAGCCCTCATGATAATCTTCTTAACAAGTGTTGTGCCCCTATTTGTCCCAATATAAAACAAAATTCTTTAATTTTTCATACTCATTTTTAACTATACATTCATATAATAAAATATTTTACACGTAAATTTAAAAAAAAATCGTACTTTTTAGCCATACATTCTTCAAAAAAAATCATTTTTCAAAACATCATTTTTTTCAATAATGGTCATCAAGCACTTCTCTGCGCGGCAAATAAATTTTTATTAATTTACACATCATTACGTGACTTCATGAAGTACATCCACGTCCACTCTTCAATATAATTATTTATTAGGCGACA